CTGTGCCTCTAGCCCTCCGATACAGGTGTTCACGCTTCCATCCCTGGTCCAGCAGCCGGGACCAGGGAGAGGGCAGGGGTCCCAGCTCATTCAAGGGCCCTGTTTGATTCAAGGCTCTTTAAAATGTGATATTCTGCACCCCATGGATGATATTTTTTTCATTTTGCTCTGATTTCGGTATTAAAAACACAACAGAACAATTGCATCGGGTCAACACGTGCTTGATCTTGCTCACAGAGCTTTTGGAACCTCCTTGAACTTTTGCTTCCCAGGTGAGCACTTCCCTGGCCTTCCCCTAGCCTTGGCCCTGCTCCTCCTTCTGGGGTCTTTGGAGAGAGCTCTCGACTGAGACTGAGGAGGCTTGGTTTAAGTCTGGCACATGCCACTGGATTTGCTGTGTTGGACAGAGTCCTCTTGGGCCCGGAGTGCCTATTGCATCCAGGGATGGGAGCAAACTTGGCTGCAGTCCAGGACGATCTGGGACACCCCCTAGCTTGTACAGCACGTCCATCTCCTAGGGGTCTGGGACTGTTTTAGACTTCATGTACTACGGTCATTAGGGGTTGTCTCAGTCCTTTTCTTGACCCCACCGCCCCCATGTGAGATATTCCTGTGTACAAACAAGTCTTCAAGGCGCCTGCGTGCAGTGAGCATTGAGAGCAGGGCTCCACCCCCTGCCCTGGGGGGTGGGAGGGGCGGGTCCAGGGTGGGGGTGCGTGGGGGGAGGCTCAGCTTCCGTTTTGGAAGTGTGGGCATGATCTCCTGTGATGTCTTGCTTCTTGTTCTTTGGTTGCATTCGACAAATCCTGCAACAGTGTTCGGTAAGGACTTTCTCTTTACCAAGCAGTAGTCCGTGTGTGTGTGTGTGTGTGTGTGTGTGTGTGTGTGTGCAAAGAGTTCAGCGCTTGGCTCTTAACCAAAAGGTTGGCAGTTCCAATCTACCCAAGAAAGACCTGGCAAAGTCCTGAAAGACTGCAGTGCCGAGAATCTTCCAGGGCAGAGTTCTACTAGGACACACATGGGGTTACAGAAATCTGCTCAATAGTCACAGATTATTTGTCAAGCCCTGTGGGGTGCTGTGGGCTAGGCGTTGGGCTGCTCACCTCAAGGTCAGCAGTTCAAACCCACCAGCTGCTCCCTGGGAGAAAGAGGAGTGACGGTCACAGAAGCACAGAGGGTTGCTGCGAGTCAGAATTGACACGGTGGCTGTTCAGTGTGTTTGGAGCGAGCACTCAGGATCCCAAAGACCTGTTTCCAGCCCTGAAGGATGGATGGAGGCAGAGGCCACATGCATCAGCCTGCACAGACAAATCTGCAGGAGGAGGGGGACTGCGGGGAAGTGAGAGCCCAGGAGAGATCCACAGAGGGGCCTCTGCTCTAGGGAAAGCTGGTATCTGAGGAGCAGAGGTGGTGGGAGCACCCAGAGCCGGGTCTATTCTCCTTCCTAACAGAATCCCCCTCAAGAGAGTGCTGCAGTGCTACTTTAGATCCGCTCTCCAGTGGCA